GTTGACAAGATATATTCCAAGCAAACCCATCAGAGCCCTAGGGGCCGCTGCGTCCTTTTCTAAGGGCCCTCAAAACACTTGCTTATTAATTTGCATCAGGACTTGCCTGGGAATTAACACAAAGCTCCCTAGTGTGAATCAACCACTTTGAAAATCCTAGTGATGTTTGCCACCTGCACTTTATGGTTCCTCTTCCTTTCTCCCTTGCCTCTCAAAGTGACTTCGGGATCATGCCTGCAGGTGCCTTCAGGGTCTGAGAGTCTCACTGTGCGGGGCGTGGAGGCTAGGACTCACATGGGGCACTCACGCATGGACTCAGAATCTCGGACTGCCTGATGCTCACGAGGGAGTGCAGGCAAACCCCTCATTCTGCAGTGGTGGAGAGCGTGACCAAGGTCACCCTCTGACTAGGGTGTTCATTTATCATCCTAGAACTCTGGCCATGGCCTGTGCGTATGTGTGTTCTTCTCCATGTAGGTTTACCTGGGCACTGGGGCTGTGGTCTGAGCCCCCCATTTGTTGCTGAATGAGGCTCCAGTTCTTCCCAGATATCTTCCAGGTAAATCTCACTAATCCCACATCAGAGCAAGAAAGCAAACCCACTGAGTTTATGCAAAACATTATTATGTTTCTGCCCATGCAGGTGTTTCCACGAGCTCACAGAGGATTAGATACTTTGCAGGACATGACACACAGTCTCAAGCTGGGCCCAGCTCTGCTCAGTTGGTCCCAGAGGTGACTAACAGAGGTGGGAGTGACTGCCAAGTGACTGGCAGGATGGAGGGTGAGACTGAGTGGTTAGCTTTAGCCAGAGAGCACCCCCAGCCGCCGCCCCCTGTGGATCCCTGCAGCTGGTGGCAAGAGATTTGGAGACGGTTGGGCTCTCCAGCCAAGCTGGGTGATGCTTTGCGTAGGGTGCCGAGCACGTGGGTGATGACTTTGGCTTCTGTCTCAAGAGTAGCAGCGCATTGGTAATTAGAAGGGATGATCACAATGTGTACCTTCCCAAGGCTGTGATTAAAGCAAAAATAGCGTCCATTCTTTAGCTGGCAGGAAGAGCCGTGGTGAGCTGGGTGGGCCACCACTGGTCCTGATGCTGGGGCTGGCAGGATGCTGGGAGTAGGCTCTGTGGTAGCTGGCCTGCCTCAAAGCCTGCCAAAAAATGTTGTCACCAAAACAGGTGTGGGCTCCCCCACCCCAAATCTGGGCACAGCAGGGATCCAGCCTGAACAGGGCCATGCAAACAGAAATTAAGAAGTGGTAAGAAACTGGCAGCCTGATGATGAGGTCCTGGGGTCCCTTCCATGTAGCTGCCCACCATGTAGGAACCCCTGCCAGCAGCTCTTGTCACCAGAGGCTCTGGGGAAGCCTCTAGAGGTGGAACAATAAAGCCCAGGCCAGACTGTTCTAGAATTTCCAGAGGTTCCCACATACCAGTTCCCCTGGGGACTTTGAAGAAGTGTGTTTCCCAGTGGAGGATGCTTCTCTGAATCTGATTTTCCTGAAGGTTCAGAGCACAGAGGAGTCTCAGAGGCCGTGCGATCTTCACTTGCAAAATGTTTTTACAGGGCCGGCCCGGTGGCGCACTGCTGTAGTGCGCTGCTTGGGAAGTACCGCGGCGCTCCCGCCGAGGGTTCGGTCCCGGTCCGGTACGGGGGCGACACTGAGGGTTGCGATCCGTTGCCGGACACGGAAAAAGACAAAAAGGAAAAAAAAAATGTTTTTACAAAAGCGCTGTGCTAGGCCGTGAAAGCTGCTAAGCCCTCCTCTCGAGGGGCCGACAGTCTGATGAGGAAATAGACAAGTAACCCACAGCAGTAAGCCAGGCCCAGCTCGGCATGCTGTGGGATCGCCATCTCTGCTAGGGAGATCTGAGAAGGCTTTCCAGAGGCGGTGACAATTGAGCACGGTTTTGCAGGACAAGTAGGAGTTTGCCAGTCTGCAAAGGGAGGAAGGGCTTACCAGGCAGAGGGCTCAGCATGAGCAAAGGCAAAGGACTGAAAGAGTATGTCATGGGGGTGAGTCAGAGCCAGGGGCCTCAATTATTATGGTAGGAATGTCTGGTTCTTAGAAGAGCAGAGCCCTGTGGCAAGGTGAAGGCAAGGCTGCCTCGAGGCTACTTTCTGCTTGTTTACACAGACCTCCTTTGAGACTGGGGATGTGCCTTCCTGTGGGTTAACTCTAGTCCTATTAGTCAGCTCTCAAGGGGCCAGAATCTAGATCTGGCAAGCTAGGTCTCCCCTCTTCCTTCTCCCAGAGCAAAGCATTTCTGGCTTTTGTGCATAGAAAGGATGCAAGGCTCTGTCCCCAAACAGCATTGGAGGTGCGACTCTTCCCTTTTGCTAGGGAATGGGGAGGGATGCTGAGGACAATCCTGCAGCCTCTGGCCTGTGGCTGCCATCTGCATGGAGCCAGGAACTGCCTCAGCATCATTTGTGGCTGTGATGCAGCACTTGTCCACCAATTCAGTGCCTGGAGCCTTGTGCGGGCCCCAAGGGAGCTGACTGCAGGCAGATCACGAATGTAGACGCTCCTCAGTCTGTGCAATCAGTGAGGACACAGGATCCAGCATCCCCCCCAATGGAAGGCACGATGCCCAGGAGACAGCAGGACCTTCCTATCTTCCCTGCAACTTATTTATAGTCTCGCTATGGTAATTTGTGGCAATCACAGCATTTAATCCTGTAATCACACTGCAAGCTGGTACCCAGCCCAGCGAGGCCGCAGAGCCTGCCAGGGCTCAGGGAGGGACTTGGCGGCAGAGCAGGTGAGTGTGGAAGGCCGATGGCCCCATCAGCTCGGGCCCCATTTTGTCAGCTGTGGCTGTGGCTGTGGCTTGGTGCAGCCCTGATGCACCCTGGATGATAATAACAGCAGCAGCTAATAGCTAATACATGAGACACTAGGCTCCAGGTCCTGTTCCAAGCCCTTTATACACTATCCTCCCCAACACCCTCTGAGTAGCTGTTATTATCCCCATATTCCAGATGACGTAACTGGGCCCAGGTCACACAGCTGATGAGAACTAAGATTTGAACTCAGGCGTTCTGGCTCCAAAGTGCAGGGTTTTAACCACGCCCCTCCCAGCCCGAGAGGTGAGGGGTCTCTCAGGCTCCACACCCACCATCTCAGCCCTGCCAGAGCTCCCGGTCCTTCCTGGCCCACCTGTCCCAGAGCTGCACCTGCAGCTGTGCACACCATGAAGCACGGCTGCTTTGTCTTGGAGAGGCCACTCTCGGCTTCCCTCCCAGAGCCTCTCTCCCTCCTGGCAAACTGATGTCGTGGAAAGAGGTCTTGTGGTGGCACACCTGGAGTTTAATCTTCGGGGTGCCGCTTATCAATTTGTGTTCCCCTTGCTTCTCCTGCAGAATGGGGACTGCGAGCCCACCTCACTGGGAAGTCGTGCAGCTCAGAAGGTGACACTGTTAGGTGTTGTCCTCTGTTAGATGTGGGGCTCTCTAGCTGAGCTCACATGTTAGCTCCATCACTCAGTCTTGTTTGTAGTGTGGCCTGGGGCAAGTGAGCTGGGCTGTTTGAGCCTCAGTTTGCTCATCTGTAAAATGGGGATAATAACAAGAGCATCCAGACTCAGAGGGTAATTGTGGGTACTAGACAAGATTAGACATGTAAGGCCTGGGACGAAATAAGAGCTCAATAAAACTGAGTCATTACTGTCTTTTATCATCATCCTTTCCAGAGAACAGGATCCAGGTGTCCTCTAGCCTGGCCCAGGAAAGTTCTTTGGTAAGTCAGGAATAAGGCAGAAGAGCCTAAGACACTGGCAGGAGTGTTAGTAGGTGCTGGGCAGAGCCAGGCCTCAGAACAAGTTTTTCCTCCCCTTTCTAAAAGCCAAACCCCTCCATCATTTAGGAAACGATTTCCTGTCTGTGTAGGCAACAGCTCAGAGCTCACAAAGCAGGTACCCTTAGACCAGGGTATGTCTGTGAGGACAGAATATTTCAAAAATGTACTTCCCTGCTGAGAGAGGCCTCTCATTTGGAATTCTTTGCAGACTCTCCCTCCCTGGGGTTGGTGGTGGCTGAGGAGCTGTTGACTCAGGCACAGTTTGGCTGGGGTTGCCCACAAAGCCCCTCGGGAGGGCTCCTAGTGGTGGGCAGCAGGCTCCCGGTGGAGGTGGGAGGGAGGGCAGTGTGGAGAAGGAAAGAGCCATCCTTGTTTAGAGCAGGCTTCCTTGAGAGATGAGAGAGTCCCCTCAATGATGGCAGACAAGTGGTTCACAGTCTAGCCGTGGGTTTTAGCCACACACAGGAAACAGTCTCCATCTCATGACGGGGAGAGGAGAGGAGGCGAGGTTGGCTTGATGGAAGGAGGGATTCTTCAGGGTGGCAGGCATCATTTGGGGTGGGGGCAGGGCAGTGGTTGGATGTCTTTTGAGGTCTCTCTCTACCTGAGAGTCCAGTGTCATGACATTCAGGAGTGTAGGCATCATATCAAGGGTCAAAGTTTTCTGTAAAGAGCCAGATAGTAAATATTTTAGGCTTTGTGTGCTGTAAGGTCTCTGTTGCAACTACTTAGCTCTGCTGCTGTGGCATGAAAGCAGCTGTAAATGGTACGCAAATGAATGAGCCTGGCTGTGTGCCAGTAAATCTTTATTTACGAAGACAGGCGGTGGGCCAGATTCTGTCCACAGCTATAGCTTACAGACTGCTGTGTTAGAAAAATGAGAGCTCAGAGAGAGCTGGGCACCAAGAAGCACTTCCTGGAGGAGGAAGTGTTGCACCCAGGCAGCCGAGAAGAGCTAGGAGAGCATTTCTGGCAGTGGCCAGCTTCACCCCAAAGCTTGTGGGTGATGCCGAGTATCGTCCCAAATGCTGGCCTCACCTCTCTCAGGGCCCACCTTCCCCTGGACTGTGGTTTAGTAATTCAAGGCCTTGCTATCTCTCTGACAGCTTCAAGCAGATATTACAAAAATATGTACCAATAGGATATACCTAGACCTATAAAAAGAGATTTATTATGAGGGATTGGCTTATGTGGTTATGGAGGCTGAGAAGTCCCATGATCTGCCGTCTGCCACCTGGAGGCCCAGGGAAGCTGGTGGTGTAGTTCCAATCCAAGCCCAAACGCCTGAGAACCAAGGGAGCCAATGGTATAAGTCCCAGTTCGAGTCCAAAGGCACGAGGCCCAGGAGCCCTGATGTTGGAGGACAGGAGAAGATGGATGTCCAAGCTCAGGAAAAGAGTTAGTTCTTCCTTTGTCTGCTTTTTTGTTCTATTCAGGCCCTCAACAGAATGTATGATGCCAACCTGCATGGGTGAGGGTGAGTCTTTACTCAGTTTACCAATTCAAATGCCAATCTCTCCTGGAAACACCCTCAGAAACACCCAGAAATGCTGTTTCACTAGCTATCTGGGCATCCCTTAGCCCAGTCAAGTGGACACATAAAATGAACCACTGCACCAGCTTTTCTAGTTGTTCTCAGAGGAAGGCTTGGCCCAAATTCCCGTCCATAACCAGAAGCGGAAGTCATCAGGTGATATTCACACTGCTGCTGTTGTTTTTGGTGAAGAAAAGCAGGATGGTTCCTTTCTTGGATGCCCCTCCTTGTCTCAGGGACAGCCTCTGCCATGGCCTGACTCTGCTGGTCTTCCTTTCCTCAGGAGGAGAAAGGGTTTCATGTCATGTTGATTTCGGAGGCAGGCACCTGGACTGGGTGACTCTCTCTAGCTCCAGACTGTAATTCCAGCTCACCCATAAACCAGAGCCTCTCCTTTGGGGCCAGGTGGGCCCAGGGAGTGTCCAGCCACTGTGGGGGGAGCCGGGGGATGCTGAGTTCTTCTTCTGCTCTCTCTGCAGGAGAACTGTACCGGGTTTCCTTGAGAAGACAGAAGTTCCCAGCCCAGGGAAGCATCGAGATCCATGACGACAGTGAGGTGGGCTGGGTTTCTGAGAGTGGCCGGGCCCCCTCTGTGGTCAGGATTTTAGGAAGAGCCCTAGGATAGTTGACAAGCTGCCTAGTCTTCTCCCAGTTCTTCACTTCACTTGCTGTGTGACCCTGGGTAGGTCCCTATCTTTCTCTGGGCTTTGGGCTCCCCTTTGAACAAGAAGGGCCTCTTGGGACCCTTCGTACCCTGATGTCCATTGAGGGTCTTGCCGTCACGGCAGCCTGTGCCCCTCACTCTGAATGCTGGAGATCTCCCCTGCCCGGCGCCCCCGTGTATGTGTCCCTGTGTCACCTCCCCACCCCATCACCTGCTGCCTGCGTCTCTCTATCCCAACTGCTGTCCCCTCAGGAAGGCTGCCCGCAGCGCTCCTGCAAGACACATGTCCTCCTGCTGGTGCTGCATGGTGGGAACATCCTGGACACGGGCTCAGGGGATCCATCCTGCAAGGTGGCTGACATCCACACCTTCAGCTCCGTGCTGGAGAAGGTCACGCGTGCCCACTTCCCTGCTGCCCTGGGCCACATCCTCGTCAAGTTCGTCCCTTGTCCTGCCATCTGCTCTGAGGCTTTCTCGCTCGTCTCTAAGTGAGTCCATTTCTGCTTGTTTGGACTGGTTGGGGTTGGTGGGGGAGGGGACTAAGTAGAGGGGCCACCCCTGCCATGTGGGTACCTGGTGGGCAGGTAGGTACCTGCCAAGGCCTCTCTGGGGTTTCAGATTGTGATTGACCATGAGCATCACCTGTGGAAAGTGGCCAACAAGAGTCCTCTGCTGGGACTCAGCTCAGATCCACTTCCTGTGCTCTATAGGCCTGATCTAGTTGACCTGCATGGGGAAACTGAGGCTTTGAGAGGTTAAGTAATTTCCCTCAGAATTACCCAGCACATGGAACCAGGAGTCAAACTGAGACAGCCTCACTCCCCTGCCACATAGTTATAGCTCAGTAGGGATATGTGCTAGAATGGAGGTGGCACAGGACACTCCACTAGAGATCCAGGGAGGACTTCCTGGAGGAGGTGACTTTTGAATGTGCATAATATGGTTAAGTATGTGGCTTCTTAGGTCAGCCAGGATTTGAATCCCAGCTGTGTGGCCTGGGAGGAGTTGTTTAACTTCTCCCTGTCTCAGTTTCCTCATCTGTAAATGAGGGTAATTATAGCATTAACTACCTCCTGGAGATTTGGAAGGATTTTGTGTGCTAGTGTCCATGAAGCACTTAACACAGCGCCTGCACATGGAAAGCATGCGGGGCTGCTCCCCATGTCTGGGCTGGGGAGGGAGATTTTCAAACTCCAGCAGAGAACTGGCTGGGGGTTTGGGGGTGGTGGAGAGCAGGGAGGGAGAGGATGGTATTGCAGAAGCACTGGTAAGAAGCATGGACAGCTCACTGCTGATGCTGTCACGTCCCTGTCCCACTGTGGGCCCCGAAGCCTGAAAGCAGGAGCCCCTCTAATGGCCTGGGGCCTATAGGAGTCCAACTCACTGCTCAGAACCTGAGGGCTCCAGTGCCCCCCACAGGTACCTGTCCAGTTAAACTGGCTGGAGGTGGTGCTTGGAGCCAGGTGGACACCCTGGTTCTATGCGCGGAAAAGGCCCCAAGACCCATATCCTGCAGAGCACTTGGCAAATCACTGGCACCAGCAGAAGGGGGGCACTTTTTTTTGGTGGGAGCAGGGGGCGGTGGCTGGCCATTACGGGAACCCTTGACCCTGTTGTTACAAGGCAACAGTTAGGGGTGAAAGGGAGGCTGTTGGCAAGTCCATTCTGCCCCTGTCCCCCTCGCATGAGCCACCAGAGGCTTGAGGCTGTTGCAGAGACTGGCCCTCAGGAATAGCTCCCACCCACTGAGACTTAAGGAGGGTGGGAAAAGTCCCCAGCAGGGAGCCAGTGCTCTCGGTGGGGCGTGGCTCCAAGGAGGGGCTGAGCAGGGTGGGGGAGGGCCCATGTCCCCTGCCCTGGAGCCTCTAGCTGGTCAGGAGAGAGCCTGGGCAAGCCCTTTCCCTTCCCTGGGCCTCACTTTCCCCCCTCCAGACAGGAGAAGAGACTCTGATTGATCTGTGTCCTGGGACATCCACATGGCAGATGTCAATCAGAGTTGGAAGGAAGGAAGGAGATTAGGTCAGTAATTCGGCTAATTGCCCAAATCTCTGGGGTGATTCTTGTTAAACCACAAGGTGTTCAGGCCGCTCCCTGGAGTGGCTGAATCAGGAGGGGAGGGGCCTTGGAATATGCACCTTTAACAACTGCTCCCGCTTCCTGCTCTGCAGGAGATTCGGAAGCTAATCTAGGAGTTAATTGTGCTAGTTCGTAATCAATCTCAGACCCACCCCCCCAAGCTGCCTCCAGGACATCTGACCTCCGGAGCTAGGTCACTCCTATCTCCAGGAAGATGGATGGCCGGGCCATTTGAGGGGACAGCGGGAGGGAGCTTACCTCTTCCCCCCAGGCAGCTCCTTGCCAGGGCCATTAATCACCCCGTAATCACTGCTGGAAGGGAGCTCTTTCTCAGCTAATTAAAATCTCTCCGGCTGCAATCGAGGCCCGTTTCCTCTAATTTGTGTTCTTTGGAGATGAGAATGGCAGGTGGGGCTGGCCTTGCACACCATGAGGACTCTGTCACCCGCTGAAGGTGCCTGAGCACTGTCACCTGCCCCAGACTCTGTTGAGTCCCCAGTGGGATCTGTGTTGGGCTGAGCTTGGACTGTAGGGGAAGGGCAGGCTCTGGGCAGGGAGTGGGTAGTTCCTGGCCTCCCTCTGTGGTCCCTCTGGACCAGCCAGGCCCAACAGTACATCTGGGTCCGATGACCCAGGGGACAGAGGCAAGGGGGTGGGGGTGGGGCATACTGCTGGGAGGCTGGTCTCAGGTGAGTCTAAGCTGCCCAGAAAGGGAGGGACTTCTAGTAGGGAGGTGGGGAGGTGTGGGGCCAATGCAAAGAACGGACAGTCCACTGGTGGTGGGGTCCTGGTGGGCAGGCTCTCTCAGTCCTCGCTGGGGTCACAGGCCTTTCTGCAGAGCCGATGAAAGCTCTGGATCCTCTCCCCACTACACAACGGTCACATCACATATGCAGCTCTGTGCACCTCTCCAAGCTGTGGCCACCATGTGATCCCCACAGCTGGTAGGCTCTCTTCTTTCTCAGCTTCTCTGCAGCCTTCCTTGAGGCCTAGTACCAACCCCACCTCCTCCAGGAAGTCTGCTGTGATGATGTCCCCACCCTGATCCACATTAGCTGGCTCTCCAGCTGATTTCTTCCTCCACAGTTGGAGTGACATTTGGGGCTCTGCTGCTACAGGAGACTCCAGGGCCCACACCATGGGCTGGCATGGGGATGGACACACGGGGGTCCAACCCCCACTTCCCCTGCCTCCATTGCCTGTGCTGTGTCTCACCGGCTCCTGCCTGGGTCCTCCTGGCCAGCGTGTGCTCTCTTCTGACTGGTCCTCAGCCCCCAACCTGCCCTCCTGCCTGACCCCAGCTGGGCTTACCTTGGCCCCCTGTCTGCAGCCTGAACCCCTACAGCCATGACGAGGGCTGCCTCAGCACCAGCCAGGACCACGTCCCTCTGGCCGCCCTGCCTCTGCTGGCCATCTCCTCCCCGCAGTACCAGGATGCGGTCGCCACCGTCATTGAGCGAGCCAACCAGGTGTATGGGGAGTTCCTCAAGTCCTCGGATGGGATTGGCTTCAGCGGGCAGGTAGGACTTCCTTGGAGAGAGGCTGGGCTCTGCCGGAAGGATCAAGACCAGGCTGTTCTAGAATTGTAGCATCTGAGAGCGGAGGGGGCTTTTGAGATCTTTGGGTTTGCCCTTGTTTTACAGATAGGAAACTGTGGCCAACAATCTGAATTCTGACCTGGGTCTGACCCCTGTTCTCATGCTGACCCTGGGCCTAGGCTAAACCTCAATCCCGGGATGAACACCCTCCCCACACCCCATTTGAGCTCTCTCAGTACCTACCTAGGACGGGGTCCTTATTCTCCCGTGGGACGCGACCCCTGCTCTGGCTGGGTGTGGAGGTGTGGGGAGTCAGTGGCGGGCAGGCCTGCAGGCCCGGCTGTGCCTCCTCCAGGTGTGTCTCATCGGGGACTGTGTGGGTGGCCTCCTGGCCTTTGACGCCATCTGCTACAGTGCGGGACCCTCAGGGGACAGCCCGGGCAGCAGCAGCCGGAAGGGGAGCATCAGCAGCACCCAGGTGCGACAAAGTGGTGGGACTGGGTGAGGGTCATGTCCCTGGGAGCCCTCCCCCAGCCCCAGAGTAGCAGAGGCCTCCGTGAGGGAGGTGGCACTGGTCATGTTGGCACCATGACATCCAGTTTACAAAGGATTATATCACAGTCCTATAAGAGGTTATCATTACAGTTGGGGAAACTGAGGCCCAGAGAGGGCTGATTTGGGCTTGGCTCTCCATACACCTGTCCAGCGTCCCAGCTTGATCACCAGTTCCTGTGGATGTAGGAAACAGCCTGTACCTAAGACCCCACCATTATTGTGTCGTGGCTTTCATGCACATTTTGGAAGAAGTGTAGCCCCTCACATCTTAGGAGGAAGGGGTTCATTTGTGCCTGGGGAAGGAGGCAGGGCCCCGGGAATCTTCTGTGACGGCAGTGCTCTCTGGTCCTCTGCCTGGCCCCAAAGGATACCCCAATTGTGGTGGAGGAAGACTGCAGTCTGGCTGGCAGCAAGCGTCTCAGCAAAAGCAACATTGACATCTCCAGCGGCTTGGAGGATGAGGAGCCCAAGAGGCCGTTGCCGCGGAAACAGAGCGACTCCTCCACCTATGACTGCGAGGCCATCACCCAGCACCATGCCTTCCTCTCAAGGTAACTCCCTCCCTATCCCCTGCCTAGAGTCCTCTGGGAGGCCCGTGAACAGTCTCATGTCTCAGGCCCTGCATGGGGGCCTATGGACAGGCTCTGAAATGCTGGGACAGAAGCCACTTGCCAGCGACTCTGCACCGAGACCTGGGAATCTGCTCCCTGTCCCTCCCCGACTGTCCCCCACCCCACTCCCCAACTTGCAGAGAGACCAGGACAATTGGGTTCATCTTTCTGAGCCTCGGCTTCATCTTCTGCAAAAGAGTAACACTAACAGACGTGGGCATGTTTTGTGAGCTACCCCACATGTGTGTTCTCATCATATCTCAGATGGGGAGACAGAGGACCAAGTAGGTCAGGAACTTTCTGGGGGGTCACAGCACGTTCCTGAAGATCTGGGGTCAGCATTCTGATCTCCCTACCCCCAGCTGGTGCTTCCTACAAACTTTTGTTTGTAGGCCAGGCAAGGCCCCCATGGAACTGTCCACCCTTTAACTTTCTAGATGAGATGCGTTAATCAACACGGGTGAAATGAATTATCCGCATGTTGATTCAGGATACGAAGTGCTATTGAACAGACCTAAATGGGAGGGAGCACCTTTCTTCTTTCCTTCTCAACTCTGTCCTCCCTTCCTCCCTCCTTCTGTCTTACCCGGGTGACAAGTGCCATGAAGACATTACAACATTTGGAAAATATATCATCTCACCACTCAGAAGGAACCACCGTTAACATTTTGGTGTTTTACGTCTGTATTTTTTACATGCTTGCATATAGTTTTACTTTAAAAATCTCCCCCCAACCTTGTATATTGTGATCTCCCCATATAATTAAACATACTTGGTAAATATTCTTAATGGCAATATATTTTATTGAGTGAAAGGACAACAGCTTACTTAATTCCGGTGATTGGACATTTTGGCGTTTTCCAATTCTTCACTATTATAAATGGCACTGCCGTGCTGTTTCTATACTTTGTGCGTAAACAGTAATATATATATTAGGGTTATTTCATTCGGATGGGCTCCTGGAGGAGGAATTACTAGGTCAAAGTCTCTGCATGTTTAAATCTCTGAAGATTTAAACAGATTATTTTGGACAGATTATCCTTGAGAAAAGTAGCTACTTTCAAGCGATGGTTGCAGGGTGAAAATCTCCACATTTCTGGTTCATTCGTCCTTGAAAAATCCTTTAGGAAAGCCCCAAATGTAGAGAGTGGCAATAAGTTAGAGGCTTTTATTGGCGGGTGCAACACAGCCAGCTTTTCGCTCTGGTGTAGGGACAGATGGCAGTTTCTTTGGCAATTAGGTAGCTGGTGTGTGTTTAGGGACCACGTCGTACATACAAAGTGCATCGTTAAACGCCAGAGTCACTGTCCTCACTGTGAGATACTCACACTGCAGGAGGCAGAAGGGCACGTGGGGACTGAGGATCCTGCTGCGCAGCCTCGCTCACTCCGGAGGGTGCCCACACTCTTCAATCGACATTTCTAACATTTTTTTCTCCTCCACGTTGAGTATTTTAGTTGAATTTGCATTCGGTAAATTGACTGACAAAGCATGTAATCCCACTGTCATGTTTTTTTTTTTTTTTTTCTCCCTTTTTGTCTTTTTTCGCGTCCGGCAACGGACCGCAACCCTCAGTGTCACACCCGTACTGGACCGGGACCGGCAACGGGATCGCAACCCTTGGTGCTGCGCCCGCCCCTCGCTCAGCCAGTGAGCGGGAACCGGTCTGTACGTGGGATCCGAACCCTCAGCGGGAGCGCCGCTGCGCTCCCAAGTGTCGGCCCCCCACTGTCATGTTTTTACCTGTGAGCTGTACCTAATGCTAGCTACAAGGTCCCCCGTTTTCCTCCTGATCCTTGGCATCCTGCTCTGGGTCTGTGGCTGAACATAACTTGGACTGTCTTTGGGGCCATGGGTGCCCAGGATGGGGATGGTTGGAATTCTGTGTGCCTTGCGTTTTCCTCTTTAAGCTCTGGCTCATCCGTGGGCTGGAGGAGGGTGGTGGGGTGACCAAGCTGTGTGCATCTGTCTGTGGATTGCCTGGGACATGGGTGAGGATGAAAGCCCTAATCCTGGCAGAGCTGACATTATCCAGCTGGTCTGTATATTGGCCAGGCTGAGCTTCTCGAGCAGATGGTGCAGGGATTCTCAGCGTGGCCATCACAAAACCAGATCGACCCGTGTGTAAGATGCTTATGTGCTTTCAGGTGCTCAGCTTGTCTCTGTAAATAAAGTTTTATTGGGTCACAGCCAGACATGTTTAAGTATTGTCTATGGCTGCTTTCCTGCTCCAAAGGCGGAGTTAAAGAGATGTTATAGAAACCATATGGCCCTCAATATCTAAAATATTTAATATCTAAAATAGTTACTATCTGGCCCTTTGCAGAAAAAGTTTGCTGACCCTAAATTTGGCCAGACCCTGGTGGCTAATGCTGAGATTATGTTGATGGTGTCTGGGAAGTGGACCCTGCTTCTGAGCCCTGTCCCAGAGACAGAGGGTCGGGTTCCCCACACTCAGATGTTAGGCTGTGCTGCTAAGTGAACACTCCCACATTCTCTCGGTCCTTCCCTAATCTGTCCTGTCCTGTGTCCTCCTCCGTCCACAGCATCCATGCCAGCGTGCTGAAGGATGAGGCCGAGCTCCCTGTGGCCAGGGCGCCCCAGCTTCCGGAGGTCAACCTGGGCCGCTTCGACTTCGATGTGTCTGACTTCTTCCTCTTTGGCTCACCACTGGGCCTGGTCCTGGCCATGCGGAGGACAGTGCTGCCCGGGCTGGACGGTGGGTATGGCATGGGCTGGGGCCTGAGACGTCTGGGTGTCACTAGGCCTCTGTGTCAGGGCCTTAACATGGGAGGAGGTAGGTGGAGTTGGTGGGGGCGGGGGAGGGGGAGAGAAAATGAGTGGAGAGAGAAGGGGCAGTTTCCCCAGATGGGTAAAGGATTGCACTGTCCCTGTCACATGCCCCTGGCTAATTTGTGGTCCCATTGGCTGGTAGTTATGTCCTATGGGAAGATAAGCCATGAATCTTCACCCTATTGCATCCCACTCCTTCCTTCCCCTGTCCATAGGCAGATCCACTGCAGCCAGGTCAGTCTTCCTGATCCACCCCCTGCCATAACCCCTTATACCCAAGTGCACCTTAGTGCCTTTGCTCAGGCAGTAACTGCAGCCTTACATGTCTTTTTCCATTTCTCTAAAATGCACACGTGAGGCAATTTTGCACCAGCAGGGGGTTTAGCAGTGACCCTGAGGACAGGAGCGCAGACTGTCAGAGGCTGGAGGACACCTGGGTTATTAACAGATTGATTCTTTTCACTAAAGCTTACTGACAACCTACAATATGAAACAAAGGGAGAAGTGCTCTGGTTGAAATGGAGGAGAGAGGGCAGAACCCCATGGCTGCCCTCAGTGTTGCTAAGGAACCCTAGGCTTCCCAGGGTGCTGGACCATCCAGTCCCCTGACCTAGAGGGGACCCAGAGTCCGGCTGATGAGGTGGAGGCCTCAGTGGAGACACCTGCTGGTCAATGAGAGAAGTGTTCCGCCAACACTGGCGAGCCTGGGACACCTATCTAGCCCCAGGCCTAGGAATTGAGTGGTGCATAGAGTTGCTCTGGGAGCCGGAGGAAGAGGCAGCAGACCTGACTGAAAGAATGAGGGTTGGCTTCATAGATCAGGCAGCAACCAAGCGAAAGCTGGAAGAATTGAAAGGAGTCTGACCAGTGGAGATAGTGGAGGAGGTCCTCTGAGGAGGAAGTGACAGCTTGAACACAGGCAGAGAGGAAAGAAAGCCTGACTGGGGAACTGCAGATGTTCACCACAGCTGCAGTGTGGGGTGCCTGTAGTGGTGTTCCTAGGTGGGGCAGATTGGCGAGGCCTTGATGCCAAACTGAACATCATGGCTTTGTTTCTGCCAGTAGCAGGGAGCCATGGGAGGTTCTTGAGCAGAAGAGTAGGCTACTCGAAGCTGCATTCCAGGGAGCCTTCTAGGGCCAAGGGAGCAGGTGCTAGAAAGGGGCCTCCCCATGTGTTCTCCCCATTCGCCCCAGGTTTCCAGGTGCGTCCTGCCTGCAGCCAGGTCTACAGCCTCTTCCACTGTGCGGACCCCTCTGCTTCACGGCTCGAGCCGCTGCTGGATCCCAAGTTCCACCTGGTGCCTCCCGTCAGTGTGCCCCGCTACCAAAGGTTCCCACTGGGTGACGGACAGTCCCTCCTCCTTGGTAGGTTCTTGGGAGTGTGAGAGAGTGTTCTGAGTAAGAGGCTGGACCCTAGCCAGGTATACTCCAGGGCTGCCCTCTCTGGTCCAGCCTCTCCAAGCTGTTAGCTAATGGGGCGAATCATTTGAGCAGGGTCTGTGTGCTCTTGGAAGAAAGGAAAACAGGAAGAGAGCTGCCTCCTTTATCTTCAGCGCAGCCCATCTACACCAAGCACTTGCTCTGTCTGAGGCATCTTGGGGCTCAGAGACTTGGGTTCTGCCCCCACCCCACAGGCTCCCAGCCTAACTCCTGTCACCAGGGTCAGTGTAACACTCAAATTGTCAGACCTGATGGCAAGTCCAGGGATCCATGTTCAGTGCTATTCTCAAGTACCCAACCTAGACTCTGGAGGAGCAGAGTAGGGAGTGTGTCATCCTGGTGGGCTTCATAGAAGAGGTGGCCTTTGACCAGGGCCTGGACAAGGGAGGTGCATTTGGGTGATGGAGAAGAGCTGGAGGACAGGGACTGAGCTCTTCTAGGTGGAGAGAACTACAGGAGCAAGGGCAGGTGGGTTTGGGGAAGGGTCAGTGGGTCAAGTGGGGACAGGTGGGTATGAACTTGGGGTGTTGTCAAGGGGAGGCCTGTAATGGGGCTTGGAAATCAGAGCCCTGGCTCCATACTCCAGTGAGGAGGTTTAGCCTAAGCCTGTTCAGAGGTTTGGATCAAAGATAGGAGGTGAGGGGTCAGGAGGCTGTGCATGTGGCTCATTCAGAATTAAAAACCATCCCCTCCCCACCCCCCATTTCCATAAAGACAGTTTCCAAAGCCCTGCTTTGTCAGGAGCTTCGATGGGTAGATGAGGCTCTAAAAATCTCCCCCTGCAACCTGAAATGTGTCCCTCTTTGGTCAAGGGATCCCCCTACCCTGAGATGCCATGTAAGCTCTCAGGCTGGAGTCCCCATTCACTTCCAGTCTCAGCCACGATCCTTTGTGAGTCAGGGGAGGAGTCTGATAAGAGAAGACATGGTTATGTGTCACCCCTGTGACACCAGCTGTGCTTTTGGGGCAATCTTCCAGAAGTTCCTTTGGCAGCTTCTCTATTGGGTGTGGGGGTGATGGTTGGGGCCCTGGCTGGTGCTTGAATAACTCACAACTTAGAGGAGGGGAAACATAGCAATACATCAGTATACTGTGGCCAAGGAGCCCCTGCAGGCCCCAGGGGTGAGCGGTGCAGCTGCCTGGTGCAGCAGTGCAGGTGCTGAGCAGCCGGGCTGGCTTCTCCAAGAGCCCAGCTTCCTGCCCAGTATGGGGCTGACATTGGTGGCCAGCTCTGCTGGAGACACACTACTCAGTCCTGACTTTGAAATTCCCCCTCCAGCTGATGCCCTGCACACCCACAGCCCCCTCTTCCTGGAGGGCAGCTCCCAGGACAGCCCACCCCTTCTGGATGCTCCAGCCTCGCCCCCTCCAGCCCCAAGGTCCCAGCAGCCCGGAAGAAGGCTGAGCGAGGACAGCTCCCACAGTGGGAGCTCAGGGTCCTTGGACAGCCTGGCCCCCACGGGCACCTCCCGCAGTAAGTGAGGTCCTTTTGGGGCCCTGACTGGCTTTGAGGGAGAGGGGCCTTCCTTAGGATGGTTGCTGGCCCGCTGGCAGGGCTGCTGGGGGCAGGTTCTTGGGTGGGGAGGAGGGCAAAGGAGTTCCTGGGTGGCATCCTTGCCTTTGGGGAGCTGGTGGTCTGTTGGCAGAGACCTGGCTACAGACTGAATCCTTACTCTGGCCCCAGACTGGGCTTAGAGCTTGGAGAGAACCTTGAGCTCTGACCCTGGCCCAAGACTGAGCTCTGATCTTTTTTTTTTTTTTTTTTTTAAATTTTTTTTTTGTCAATATACAATGTATATGATTATTATGGCCCTTCACCGACCCCTCCCGCCCTCCTCCCTCTCTCCCCTCCCCACCAAGAATGTCCTTTCCGTTTGCTTGTTGTAACAACTTCAAAAAAAGTATAGTTGTTATATCTTCTTCCCCACCCCCCCCCCGTTTTTTTTTTGTGTGTGTTTGTGGGTAAATTAATTTGTTTATTTTTTAGCTCCCACCAATAAGTGAGAACATGTGGTATTTCTTTTTCTTGTGAGCTCTGATCTTAAAGAGAGCCTTGACCTCTGACCGTGGACCAGGCCCTGACCTTTCCAGGCATAGACTGAGCCCTGACCTCAGACAGAGCCCACTGGGAGTCACTGCTGACGGGCAGTCCTGGGGGAGACTGGACACCCCTATGGGACTGGTTCTCATTCCTGGGGACCAACTGGAGCACATGGCTTCGAGGAGGGTGTGCGGGTGGAGGGGCAGGTGGGTTGTGAGGAGGTAGGGGAAGCAGCGGCAGATTCCCCAGAGCTCTTTCAGAGCAGGGTGCTCTGGCCCTAACCTTGTGCCTCATGTGTCACATCCACCACTGACTGGGTCTGTACAACAGGAGTCCCACGCTGCCCCTTGGGTCAGGGCCCTGGGCAGGCCACTTTGTGCTCACCTTCCTCTTGGACCTGCAGTCACGGCCAAGTGGTGGGGTACCAAGCGGATCGACTATGCCCTGTACTGCCCCGATGTCCTCACAGCCTTCCCCACCGTGGCCCTGCCCCACCTCTTCCACGCCAGCTACTGGGAGTCCACCGACGTGGTTGCCTTCATCCTGAGACAGGTACTGCTGCCTCCTCCTGGGTCCTGCCCCAGGCACCGGGGGAGGATTCTGTACTTCTCTGTCTACAGAAGAGGCTTGTCGTGCAGGCCACGTGGAGCATTTGCTTGGTTTTGGGACATGTAAAGTGTGAGATGCCTGTTAGATGCTGGGAAGGCGGTGAGTGAGATGAGCCTGGAGCTTAGGGAAGATGTCAGGATTAGAGATAAAAATGTGGGAGCATCAGGGATTGGGTGGCATTTAAAATTGGTGATGGGTGCCTACCAAGGGAATTACTATAGATAGGGAGTGCAGGGCTGAGTCCTGGAGCTCCCTGGGGGAGATGAGGAAGAACCACCAAAGGAGACTGAAGAGGGCATCCCTTGAGATCAGATGAGAACCTTGAGAGTGAACCCTGAGCTGGGCAGGATGGAAGTCCCTGGGCTTTGGCAAGAAAAGCTTCAGTGGAGTGATGGGGACAGAAGCCTGGGTGGAGCGGGCAGAGGAGAGGAGGCAGGAGAGGAAGTGCAGGCAGAGCATAGGGTAAGTCTTGCATAGAGTGTTGCTGGTGGGGAGAACAGGGATGAGATGGGAATTGGAGAGGGACGGGGGTTCTGGGGAGAGTCTTTTTTTGAGATGGCAATATGCAGCGTATTTGGATGCTGAAGAGAAAGATCCAGCAAAGAGCGTCTAACAAGAGATGCAGGATTGGGAGGAGAGCGTTGCTGGAGCAAAGTTCTCAGGAAAGAGGAGGGGCAGGGGTCAGGGCTCCAGCTGGCCTTAGGTAAGGGTCACCTGTCCTAATAGGAGGGAGGACAGAGAATGGGTACAGACGCAGGTAGCAGCTAGGTTTGGGCACGGAGGACAGAAGCTACTCCAGGAATGGAGCCATTTGGGAGAGAGTGCTCTGACCCCAGCTGTCAGAACAGGGGGGCAGGGGCCCCAGCCTCCTGACAGTTCCAGGCTGGGAGGTAGGGAAGCCAGGGGGAGGGCCCGGCTGGCCACAAGCTGTTGGGCCCTGACACCCTGGGACGGGGTGCGAGGAGGGAGAAGGTCCCAGAAGGCCTGACGGGGAGCACTGCTGTTGGTCAGGTGATGCGCTACGAGAGTGTGAGCGTCAAGGAGAGTGCTGGCTTGGATCCTGCGGCACTGAGTCCTGCTAATCCCCGGGAGAAGTGGCTTCGTAAACGGACCCAGGTCAAGCTGCGGGTGCGTGCATGCTGGCGTTGCATGCCAGTTGGGACTGTGGCCTCATGGCAGATAAGAGCTTTGGTTTGCCCCTCAGAGCTCAGTGCCCACACAGGCTGGGATTCTTGCTGAGATGAGGCCCCTGGTGCTGCAGCAGGGAGGGTGTGCGGGTTGGTTCCCTGTGGCCTGGCTCCATAGCAGCCTTGAGGGTCAGGGTCCAGAGCACTGGGGATGGTGAGCAGATGCCAGTTATGGAGCAGTTGCTATATGCCAGTCTTCTACAGAGGTGGAGTTGAATCAGAAAATATCCTGCCCATGACCATGGGGCTCTCAGTGTGACTTACCACTGAGTATGGCCTGGAATGTGTCATGACAGAGGGAGGCGTAGATTAGGACAAAGATGGAAAGAAGGATTGTCAGGGCAGGTCACGCAGGACTTCCCTGAAGAAGAGGTTTTGCTGTAGGGTCCTGAAGGATGAATAGGAGTTCGGGATGCAAACATTCATTTATTTACTTAGCAAATTATCATCAATGCCTGCTGTGTCTCAGTCCCTCTGCTAGGGAGCGGGGCATAGAGATGTACAGACACATTGCTATGGTGGGTACCTCCAGTTTGGTGGGAAGATCAGACATGGACCCTATGAACAGTCCCAAAGGGTAGAGGGTAATCAATGTGTCATGAATCAACTTTTTTTTTTTTTGTAAATCTATGTATTGAGATATAATTCACCCATTTGAATTGTACACTTCAATGGATTTTAGTATATTCACAGATGTCTGCCACTATCACCACGGTTAATTTTAGAACATTTTTATTACCTCAAAAAAGAAACCCCGTTGCCCTTAGCTGTCATCGGCCCATCCCTATCCCCTCTCTACTCCCCACACCCCAAGCAATCAGTAATCTACTTTCTGTCTCTGCAGAATTGCCTGTTCTGGACATTTCATTTGAATGAAATCATATATGTTTTTTGTGTGTGTCTGTCTTCTTTTGGTTAGCATAATGTTTTCAAAGTTCATCCGCCTTGTAGCATGGGTCAGTAGTTCATTCCTTTTTATGGCTGGATAATATTCCATTGTATGGACATACTTCATTTTTTTACCCATTCATCAGCTGATGGACATTTGGGCTGTTTCCACATTTTGGCTATTGTGGCTAATGCTGCTATGAATATTCATGAGTAAGTTTTTGTGCGGACATATGTTTTCATTTCTCTTGGGTACATATCTAGGAGCGGAATTACTCAATCCAACGGTTACTCTGTTTAATCATTTGAGGAACTGCCAGGCTGTTCTCCATAACCGCTGCCCCGTCTCACATTTCCGCAGCAGTGTGTGAGATTTCTGATTGCTGCACATCCTCACCAGCGGTTATTATCTGTCTCTGATTCTAGTCATCCTAGCGGGTGTGACGGGGTAACTCATTGTGGTTTTGATTTGCATTTCCCTGATGACTAGTGAAGCATCTCTTCAGGTGCTCATTTCCATGAATCAACTCTTCCCTCACCAGTGCTCCTGTAAAGGAGGCTGGTGTTCCCCACTTCGCTGAGTGTCTCCAGGGCAGGGCCCATGACCGGTTCCTCTCAGGGACAGGTGCAGATGAGGTGTCTGCAGATGTTTAGTGAATTGAGTTAAAATGCATGGGAGGCCGGCTGGTTAGTTTAGTAGGTTCAATCGCAGTCTTATAACACCAAGGTCATAGGTTTTGATCCCAGTACCAGTCAGTCGCCAAAGAAAAAGCATGTGAATTAAGAGGAGGTAGAGACCACATCTTTGGAGAGTGCTTCTTGGAGGGGATGTAGTTGAGTCAGGTCCTAGTGGGTGGTCTGGGACGTGGAGGCAGAGAGCAGGGATGGCACATGGGGTGGGAACCAGTGTGTGCAAAGGCCTGGAGGCCACTGCAGAGCTGGCCTGAGAGGACCAGAGGGGCGCAGAAGGGGAGCAGCAGGAGATAAGGCTGAAGAAGTTGCTAAAGCAAGGCTTGGAAGGCTGAGCTCAGGGTTTAGACTTCATCCGGAGAGCACTGGGGAGCCTGGCAGGCTGTCACAGGTCTGTGCTTTATAAGGATTGACAATTTGTCACAGGGCTTGGGTTTGACTGAGGAGCTCAATTAGGAAGCTATTAGCACAGTCCAGGCAAGAGGTAATGTGGGTGTGGGAGAGAGACTGATGTGACCCATACTGTAAAGGAAGGGTCACCAGATGGAAAGATTCAGGTGTTGAAGGCCGGGCTGGGAGTGGTGGGTGGTCAGGGGCAACACGGGCCTTGGAGCTATGGAATGGACGCAGCAGAAGTGAAGGAGAACGGGAATGCTGAGATGGATACAGACAAAGTGACCCAATGTTCAGGATTGCTCCAAAATAACCCGAGGCGGCACGAGGCTGGGGCTAGGATCTAGGGCGAGGGAGGAACAAAGTCAGAGGGTCTGTGAGGTGTTCAGTGGTGGAGCTGTGCCAGGCTCACGAGGCTTTGTTGCATATTCTCTCTACTCTTGTATGTTTGAAATTTTCCACTGGAGGAAAAAAATAAAAAAGATGGATTGTAAACGGCTGTTGGTCATGAGGTGTGATGTAGAAGAAAGAACCAAGGTGAGCGGGCAGTGTCCAGCCTAGGAATGTAGGATTGGATGGCAGCTGTAAGGACTGGTTGTTACCACCAGGCTGCGGGAGGGTCACGAGCAGCAAGTGGACATCTGCAGGAAGCCCAGGGCGCCCTGAAGACAAGTTAGGGGCTCACAGTCCTGTTTTTCTCATGGGTTCTGTGGGAACATGTCTCTGAAACGCTAATGGAGGTTAACAGAAGACATGATTCAGTAGATATACACTTCGCCCCCCAATCCTAAGAATGCTTTAATGATGAATCAGGGCTGAGTCTTGCTTGCAAGGGTTGAGCCGGCTTCTTTCTGTCCTTCCAGAACGTCACCGCTAACCACCGGGCCAATGACGTGATTGCTGCTGAAGGTGGCCCCCAGGTCCTGGTGGGGCGGTTCATGTATGGGCCTCTGGACATGGTGGCTCTGACTGGAGAGAAGGTACTGAGGGCTGGGCATCCTCTCCTCAGCCAGTCCACCTGCACCAGGTGTCTCATGGTACCACATGGCATGTGGGTGAGGGTCCCAGGAGGGCCAGCTGCCTGTGGTGGGAGCATCAGGTCAGGGAGGACAAGCAAGGAGGGAGGGACAAGCTGGAGCATCTGAGGAGGACTGAGAAGCCAGGGTAGCTGCAGCGGTGAGGTGGGAGGGTGGTAGGAGCTGGGGATCGTTAGGCAGGCACCTGAGCCCCAGGGCCTGCTGTCCTGGCAGAGAACACCCCAGCCTGCCCCTTTGCCAGCCTCCAGTCACTCTGCTTTCAGTGAGCCCCCTGTCCCCCTCATTGCCTGCAGGTGGACATCCTGGTGATGGCAGAGCCATCCTCGGGCCGCTGGGTCCACCTGGACACAGAGATCACCAACAGCAGTGGTCGAATCACATACAACGTGCCGCGGCCCCGGCGTTTGGGGGTCGGTGTCTACCCTGTGAAAATGGTTGTCAGGTAAGACCCAAGGGACATTCTCATGGCGGTTATTCCATTCCCATGGCCCTTCCAGCCAGGTCTGTCCAGAAGACAGGGTCCTTGGGGCTCTACTCTGGGCCCCATCTCTGTCTGCGTGAACAGAGGAGAGTGGAAGAGGTCACTAGTTGTGGCATCAGGAGATGGCACCCAAATTCTCTCTGAGCCTGGCCCTAGACTGAGATCTAACTCCAGCCACAGGCTGATATGACCCTGACTGCCCGGCTAACCACACTCTGGTTCCTTTCAGGGGCGACCAGACCTGTGCAATGAGCTACCTCACGGTGCTGCCCCGGGGCATGGAGTGTGTTGTGTTCAGCATTGATGGGTCCTTCGCAGCCAGCGTGTCCATCATGGGAAGTGATCCCAAGGTCCGGCCAGGAGCAGTGGATGTTGTCCGGTGAGTACTACCTCCTGCGAGGACTATGTCTCTCTTGGGGGCAGGAGCCAGCTGTCCTGGGGGAAATGTGTTGTTTTCTCTGGTTTCCTCTAGGAATTCTATTGGTCTCTGGGGCTGGGAGCTGAGAAGTACTGGCTTCACCTCCAATAGTAATTTACTGAGGTCCTTGGGAAAATCCTTACCCCTTTCTAGATCTCAGCTCATTTGTTCATTCATTCGTTCCTTCTCTCCTCCATCCTTTTCTCCTTCTTTCCCTCCACCCACCTATGCATCCATCACCCTTTTCTGAGGCTGACTCCAGGCCAGGCTCTGTGCTGGGCACTGCTGTGGATACAGCTCCTAGTTGGAGAAAATTCACGGTCCAGTGGGGAAAACAAGTCATGGGCATGAGAAACTAATCCAAGACTCCAGGTCTTGATCAGGACCCCAAGAGAGGGACAGATACTGGGTACCAGGAGTTCTTAGGGGTTGGGGACTGCCTGCCTTCTCTCACTGATAGCAAACTCTCTGGGGGGGAGAAGGCTGGCCTGGCTGCCAGGAGATTGCCAACCTGAAGATGACCACCAGCTCTGTGGGAATAGGCCCTGGACAGATACAAGGTCATGTCGGTGACTAGCCTCCTCCTTGCAGGGTTCGGCCGTGTATTCCCATTATAGCCAGCCCCTCCTGAGCCAGTGCCACCTCCCAAAATTAGGACAGGGAGGCTGTGGTCCTTCTTCTTTGGGGATGTGTGGTGCTCTCACCTCCTCACATGGGTTCCTGGCCACCATGGTGCTCTCTAAACCTTACTAATCATTAAAAGCTGCTTTTTATCAACACAGGTCACTGAGCCCCACCTCAGAACTAACCAGAATCCCTGCAGGTGACACCTGCACCTGTGCATTTTTACAAAACCTCCCCAAATCTCTCAGATCATCACCAGGTTTAGAAGCCATCAATCTATGTTAGCCAGTTGGTGGCTAGTGCCACAAACACACCCAAACAGGTCTGGGTTCATCTGACATTCTGCAGCCAGGATTCTGTGTGAAGTCAGAGGAGAGCACTTCCCCATTGTGCTGTGAAAGCACAGAGAAAAGAGTCTGATTCTGCTTGGGTAGCTGGGAAGTCTTTCTGGAAGAGGGGGCCTTGAAAGATGGGGGATGTGGATATAGGGAGATGGAGTCATGGAGGCTGTCCGGGGGAGGGGTCTGCAGCAGAAGAGCACAGGGCCTGTTGGGGGCAGCAGAACAGCTCTGCGTGGCTGGGGAGATCTGCTACGCAAGGGCAGAGCAGGGAGCATGCTGCAGCGCGGAGAGGCCTTGGAACTTCTCCCCAGGGCACTGGGGAGCCAGGAATGCTTTTAGGCAAAGGAGTAATGGGGTTAGATTGTGATTGACACAAATCACCATGGAAACAGTACCAAGGATCATATTAAAGCCAACTGTATTGAGCACACCATGCCAGGCATGTTTGATTTTAATTCTTTTCACCAGCATAGTGCTGATAGCACCAAGGTCCAGGGTTTGATCTCTGTACTGGCCAGTTGCAAAAAAAAAAAAAAAAAAAAAAATTCCTTTCATCCTTTGGATAATCCTATGAGTAAGTTACTATTATCCCCATTTTGCAGATGGGGAAATGGAAATCCTCAGGGGGTTAAGTAACCTGCCAAAGTTGCATGGCCCAGGATGCTTCTGTGTGGCCCAGGAGAGAGATGAGGCCTGAAGTGAGGTTAAAGTGAGAAGGTTGGAGTAAAGACCCTTGCCTGGTAGAATTGAAAGGCTTGCTCCCTGCAGGAGAGGAGGGAAGGAAAGCAGAGCAATCAAAGGCAGCTTGGCTCTGGCTCCAGAAGAGGACATGGACAGTGGGTTGGGAGTGGGGAGATTAGCTTGGTTGTAGGCATGTGATAACCGGAACTCACGGGCTCAGCTGGGAGTGTGGATTTGGGGGTCCCCCTTGTTTTCCCTAGTGTTCTTCAGAATAGTGCCTCTGGCTTCTCAGGAGGGCAGCAGCGGGTGGGGCGGGCCACTGGGCAGAGGGTATCTCGCATCAGCCGGGCTGGACCCTCCCATGCCATCTCGCCAGGCACTGGCAGGACCTGGGCTACATGATCCTTTACATCACGGGGCGCCCGGACATGCAGAAGCAGCGGGTGGTGTCGTGGCTGTCCCAGCACAACTTCCCACAGGGCATGATCTTCTTCTCGGATGGGCTGGTGCATGACCCGCTGCGGCAGAAGGCCCTCTTCCTCCGCAACCTCATGCAGGAGGTGAGTGCGAGCCGGGTCAGGGCTTTGGCCACACCCAGGTGGGGTGGGGCGGCTGCCGCAGGCCCGCATTGGCCCGGGGAGGGTCGCCCAACCTTCCTGCCCACTCGTCCCCGCCCCTCTCAACCTGGGTGGGGCCGCATCCATCTATCTCACAGCCTCCCTTTCTGCAAGAGCACTTGCACTTTGCAAAGCACCTTCCGGTGAATCTCACTGGGTGCTTTTTGCAGGCATGTGAGGTAGGTATTATCATCTTCATTGACAGATGAGAAAGGTGGGGAGCTCTGGTGACTTGCCCAAGATCTCAGAGTCTCCTGACTCTAAAGCCTAAACTTTTGTCTCTACACCTGATTATTCATTCAACATTTAAGTGCCTGTTGTGTTCCTTACTCTGTGCTTGGTGTTGGAGCTGCCCAGAGACAAACAGAACAGGGGACATGCTCTCTAGAGCTTATGACTCAGAGCTGTGATTCTCACAGTGGGGACCTGGAACCAGCACCTTAGCAGCACCTGGGAGCGCATTAGAAATGCACATTCTCGGGCTCCATCTCAAAGTTACTAGGGAGAGGGCTCAGTGATCTTTACACAAGCCTCCAGGGGATTCTGATGCACAGAAAAATTTTCAGAATTGCTGATCTAGATCAGGGTTTGACAAATTGTGGCTAAATCCAGCCCACAGCCTGTTTTTATAATGACCTGCGAGCTAAGAATAGCTTTGACACTTTCAAATGGTTGGGGGAGGAAATCCCAAGAATATTTCATGATGTGAAAATTATATGAAATTAAAGTTGCAGTGTGCATAAACGAAGTGTCATAGGAACACGGCCCAGCTCATTTTTGTGCATTGTCTGTGGCTGCTTTTGCACTGCAATGGAAGAGTTGAGTAGTTCTGACAGAGTGCAAAGCCTAAAATATTTACTATTTGGCCTTTCACGGAAAACGTCTGCCAATCCCCGATCTAGAAGAAGAAAGACATGTAAATTGACAATTACTAGTGTGTGGTTGAAAAAGGCCCTACTGGCAAACAGGAGAGGAAGGACTTAAGATTGCCTGGGGAGGCCAGGGAAGGCTTCTAGGAGCTGGTAACTTTTGAGCGGAGTCTTGAAGCATAGTACGAGTCAGGTCGACAGTGAAACAGCATGTGCAGAGACACAGAGGCAGGAAGGAGCCTGGGGCATTCTCAGAGCTGTAGGCATCCAGGATGGGGGTACATGCATGCAAGGCCAGACCCAGGACAGGTGGGAGTAGAGGCCCCAGAGGTCATCAAGGGCCTCAGCATGGCAGGTCTTGAAAACCAGGCCCAGACGATGAACTCTCTGCTGAGGGCCATGGGGAGCCATGGAAGAGTTTAAAGCAGAGGAGTGGCAGTGTCTAATCTGGGCTGTAAAAAGATCCCTCTGGCATTGTGTGGAGAACGGATTGGCAGGAGAAACAAGAGGCAGGGAGGCCAGTTAGGAGGCTGTTGCCCAAGCAAGAGACAGGGAGTGCAGAATCCAGGTGGTGACCAGGGGATGAAGAGAAAGGTGTGGGTAGGCATGAGAATCAGGAGGGAGAATGTCCATGTTGGGTGACCAGGAGGGATCAAGGTGCTGTTCACCTAACTGTGGTCTCTGTAGAGGCAGAGCTTGTTCTGCTCACCAATATATCTCTGGGATTTGGGGCAACGATGGCACACAGTAAGCACTCAACAAATGTTAGCAGGATGAATAAATGAACGAATGAGTGAATGAATGGATGGATAAAATGGCTGGGGAGGAGTTTGGGCTGGTGGTGGAGATCGGGAGCCATAAGCATGAGGCAGGTGGGTGAAGCCACGGGAGGGGAGAAGAGGCTGCGCTGGGCTCCCGAGAGCAGGAGGAGGAGCCAGGGACCGGCAGTGGAGTCAGAGGGGGAGAAGGGACAGGAGAGAGAAGCTCCAGGTGGCAGGGCCAGAGGTAGGTTCAAGCAGACAGTGCTTTTCTTGTGAAGAGGTGTGGTATGGTGAGAACCGCCCACCAGGTGAAGACTGGCCACTGAGTGACCTCGGTGAGGAAGGGACACCCCAGAGGGGGCAGAAGCAGCTGGGTGAGGTAAAAATCAGGACAGGTCTGGGAGAGACAGAAAGAATATGCACGGCGAGGGCTCCGTGGTTCTGTGAGTTTGTGTAGCAGCTCCCGGTGCCAGCGCACAGAAATGGAGACGGTGGAGGATGGAAAACCCTAGGGCTGGGACTTGGCCAGACAGGTGTGGGAGCAGGACGAGGGGGAAGAGAATAAAGGTGGAGGCCAGAGGACATGGGGGTGCCATGGGCGCCTGGCACGTGTCCGTCGGGCTGAAGGGCAGCTGGGGTGGGAGGCTCTGAGCGGCACGGAGGGCAGGAAGCCGTGGTCCCAGCGGCGCTGCAGAGCTGTGAGTTCAGAGGAGGCGGCTCTGGGAAGTGACGGCTGCTGACATTAAAGAAGGCACATGGACAGTTAGTCATCCCAGCGATGGTCGGGCTTAGGAGGAAGGAAAGCTGTGACCCTGGAGCAAAGTCTCCAGTGCGCTTGGGAGGAGGGGGAGTGGGAGGGAAGGAGGTGACGTTGATGGGGAGGCACAAAGCGGGGGCGGCTGGATGGTGAGCGCCTCAGACGAGGGGGTGGTTTTGTCCAGTGGGGTGGGTTGGGAGGGAGGGTGATGATCTGGAGGTGCCACTGGAGCAAGGAGGATCTTGGGCAGTTCTCTGAACTGGATTGGGGCTTCTGGGTAGGACATGAGACCAGCTTGCAAGAGGCAGTGGGTGAAAGGTGAGCCTTGGCCTGGGGCGGTGTGGATGGCACAGGGTCAGTGGCCAGACAGACCTGGCTCCAGTCCTGGCCTGCGAGGTGCAAAGGTGGAACTCACTTTCCTCAGTCGCAGAGGAACTCTTTGCCTCATTGTTACAGAGCTTACTATAGTGCTGCCCGAGGTGCGGTCAGGAAATGGTGTGGTCGTGACTGTTCGCTGTGCAGAGCCCCATACAGGCCTGGGGTGTGCAGTGGGGCCTGGACACAGGGTGGACCCATGGCTCGGAGTCTAACAGAGTGCAGATAGTGGGTCTCCAAACAGGGGCTCCCTGGGACTGGTCTAGGGAGCCTTCCTGGGGAGGGCGACTGGTCGCCCCTCCCCCCATGAGCTGCCCTGTGTTTCAGTGCTTCATCAAAATCAGTGCTGCCTACGGCTCCACGAAGGACATCTCAGTCTACAGCGTGCTGGGCCTGCCTGCCTCCCAGATCTTCATTGTGGGCCGGCCCACCAAGAAGTATCAAACCCAGTGCCAGGTGGGTAGAGGCTGGGCTGGGAGCTGAGTGGGCAGAGGCCAGGAAAAGGACTGGGGGAGGGGGAGTAGGCAGTTCTTTTTTTGTTTGTTCACTTAATCGTTTATTTGTTTTCATTTTACCCATTCATTCATTCAACAGACACCACTGGGCACTTGCTTTGGGCCAGGCCCTGTGTTGGGTACAGGAGAGAATCCCCAGTGGAGTCAGATGTAGTGTCATCCAGTCTAGTGGGGGAGATGGAGGCACTTTCAGGCAGTGACAGTGTAGGCGGCAGGTGCCATGATGCAGAACAGGGAGCACAGAGAATCGTGGGGCTCCAGAGAAGAGCAGTGAACCTGGATTCTGGGGCAAGGTTGGCTTTTGGGAGTTTGAAGGAATTTTCCAGGAAGGGCCTGACGTTGGGAGGAACATTTGTGGCAGAGACATCAGCAAAAGGCAAGGGCAGGAGGTGACAGAGCACACGCACATTCTGGGAACTGCCAGTGACACAGCTTGGCTGTCAGATGTGGGCAGGGAGAGGAGAGGCACTGGATCTGTGGGTGCATCCAGCATGGCCTGTGTGCCTTGCTCCGTTTGGACTCCATGCTCTGAGTCTTTGGCATGCGTGTTGGGGAGTGGCATGGTCAGGCTTATGCTTCAGAAAGTTCCCTCAGGCCGCAGGTGCAAGGTGGGCCAGGGAAGCAGGGAGCGAGTTGGAGAGAAAGTGGAGGGCCTGAGGGGAATTTCTTAGGTAGGGGATGGATTGCATTTTGTAATGAAGGGATCACACATGCACGATGAAAGAAAAGGAAAGCCAAGGGTGGCACAGCAGTTTCTGGCTTTGGTGACCAGGTAAGAGGTGCCATTGTGGGGATTGAGAAGCAGCCTGGGGGAGGAGCAGGTTGAAGGGAAGGAGAGGAACTTCCTTTGGGGCAGGTCCAGTGCGAGGTGCCTGAGAATGACCAGAAGGTGATGGGACCTCAGAGTGGGGAACCCCGGAGCCTGGCTCCTCAAACTGATGCATACCCGGATCACCTGGGGATCTTGTTGAAACACAGATGCTGATTCAGCAGGCCTACGGTGGGGCCTGCAAGTCTCCCTAACAAGGGTCCAGGGGATGCTGATGCAGCTGGTCCACGGACCACGCTTTGTGTAGTAAGGTTCTGAGGACACTGAGAGAAGGACTGGCAGGCAGGGCAGCTTTGTGAAGTTATAGGAGGGACTTACATTTTGGGATTTTAGTGGGAGTGATAAGGATGGGTGCTTCACCCCCATCAAAAATCCAGAGAACTCTTGTGTGACCTATGGGCACAGATAGAGGTGCAAAGCGGGACACTGGAGTGGTACTGAGCTCCCCGCTTCCCCGGGGTTTGGCGGAGAGGATGTTCCAGGGAAATGGCGATGTTGGGGGGACGTGGTCCGGACCAGGATTGGGGCCTGCCCCAGCCCGCTGGCCTGACGCCTGTCCCTTGCCCGCAGTTCCTGAGCGAGGGCTACGCCGCGCACCTGGCGGCGCTGGAGGCCACCCACCGCTCGCGCCCCAAGAAGAACAACGCGCGCTTGATCCTGCGCAAGGGCAGCTTCGGGCTGCACGCGCAGCCGGAGTTCCTGCGGAAGCGCAACCACCTGCGCAGGACCATGTCTGTGCAGCAGCCCGACCCGCCCGCCGCCAACCCCAAGCCCGAGCGGGCCCAGAGCCAGCCCGAGTCCGACAAGGACCACGAGCGGCCGCTGCCCGCGCTCAGCTGGGCGCGTGGGCCCCCCAAGTTCGAGTCGGTGCCCTGAGGGGCGGGCTGTGCTCAGAGCGGGGGGCGCGACCAGGCTGCCTGCGGGGACGGGAGGGGGCCGCCTTCTCCCGGACACAGGCGTTTTCCTGCTTTTTTCCCTCCCGTGTCTGTCCAGCAGTGTCCGACCAGAGCGGGGAGGGACCCTGCCCGGCCTTGGGGCTTCCTGGGCTGCGACAGGGTGAGATCCGGGCATCTCAGTGCAGCCGCTGCTGCGTCCCCGACGCCTGTGACCGCAAGCCCAAGTCAGGGTTGAATGTTTGTGTAATCGTCGGAGGCAGGTCTGCCCGGAGCTGGAGTGTTTGGGCAAAGTCGACCATCTCTTTGAGTCTCCCAGGCTTGGGCAGAGATGCTGGGCAGGCCCTAAAGGGAGAAGCTCCCAGTCCCAGGACCGACAGTTGCCGGCAGGCACAGCTTCTTGGCTGTCTTGTGGAGGGGTGAGTGGCATCTGTGCCCACCTTCCCTGTGACATCCTGGGTCACATTTGGGGGCTGACTGTCTTATGGCAAAATAGCCACTTTTTGGGAGCAAGAGGACGTCCCCTGGGCTCATCCTCATGTATGTGGTGTCTGTCCACAGCCCTGGGGGGTGGGGTCTGGTGCTGACGGTCTGTCCTCCTGCAGCTGTCCATTGTCCCCCCACTTGTCCTCAGTATCCTCACCATTCTCCCGTGGCCCTTGAGGACAGGCGGTCCTCTTCCAGGAGTGCTGCCTTGTGCCCTCCCCCGTGAGGCTGTAGCCATGGGCTCTGGCCCTGCTGGGCTGGCTGTGAGCCCTTGAGCCCATTGCTTACCCTCTCTGGGCCCTGCCTGCCTTCTGGAATCGGAGGGGTCCCCCAGCTGAGATTGGTGTGGGCTTTTGACTCCTAGGCTCTCCTCAACTTCTGTTCCTGGGGCTTTTCAGGCCTGAGGGCTCCTCAGAGTGTCTGGTGATCCACGCCTTCCACATGGCCTGGGAGAGGGGTTCTGGGTGGGCTGGGAGGAGCTCTTGTCCCACCGCCTCAAAGGAAGCCCCTCTGAGAGGGGCTGGGAAGGGATCCCATGGAGAGCCCCGCATCAGGCTCCCCTCTCCCAGCTTTGCTGGGACCAATTTCTCCCTTTAGGCTCCTGGAAGGCATAGAACTGAGATCCAGGGTTCTGGGGTTCATGGAATTTTGGCTCAAACTGTTGTATTCCTCTTCCCTTCCCCTGCCACTCAGCTTGGTTTGTGCCCATAACCTCTTCCTAGGTAGTCCCCTGAGGTTGCCAGGGCTTGGCTCTCCTGGGGCCCCTCAAAGCCTGCCCAGGCCCTCCTGCTGCTGAGCCCCCAGCTTGGGCATTGGTCTCCTGCACCTCCTCCCGGCTCCCTAGCCCAGGCCCACACCCACCACGTGGGGCTGCCTGGAGTTGCCTCTGAGCCCCCGTGAGCTGCCCCCGGACCTGCCCCAGGGCCCAGACGTCTGTACACACAGCAGGCATCTGTGTCAGCTCAGTGTCGCTTCCGCTCAATGTCTACCTCTCGCAGCTCCCATGCATGCAGCCGATGGCGGCTGCTGGTGGGGGCGGCTGGCACACCACCGTTGTGAATCGCCAGGCAAAGCGGGCGCCCTCCTGGGGCTGGAGGGGCCTGGGCTCCCAACCCCAGCCCTGCTCTCTCCACTAGAAATGTCTTCTGCAGGCGGCCAGCTCTTCTGCTCCACTCTCAGCACTGCATCCCGCATCCAAGCCCAGCGCTGCTGGCAGCTCTGTCGGGGAGGGGTGCGGCTCAGCCTCAGCTTCCCCTCTGGTCCTGCCTCCTGGTGGTTCACACATGCCCATCCCTCCTTTAACGTTTCATCATTCTTGGCACTTCATCAGCACCAGCTCACGTGGTACAGCCACTTCAACCCTAATCCTTCTCACTCCTTCCTACTTCCCCCCAAATACCCTGAATTAAACTTGGGCAGACTCAGTCTGATTCTCTGAAACTCCACTGTCTCCTTTTTGCAGAAGCCACTGATGTTTTGCTCTCAAATGATAAAATAATTAGTGGGAGATACTTTGTCCCCAGTTAGAGTCGCTCTTCTGTTTCCAAGAACCCCAGGCTAGGAGTAAGAGAGAGCGCTTGAGCCAGGACCCCTGGGGAATTTGGAGTCAAAGTGACCAGGGTTCTGTGGCTCTGGGGGTTGGAGCTGGGACACAGGACCCAGCAGGAAGGCCACCACCCCTTCCTTTCCAGAGCCCTGGATTGGGGCTTTGACAACTCCCATGAGATGCTGATGGTGTACAGTGAGATATTGTGAACACAACACCCTCGGAGCTGTAGTTGGTGTGTGTGAATGTGTGTACGTGTGGTTCTGTTTAGTGATGAGACAACTTATGTTTCAGTACTGCTTCCACAGCAACCATGTAAGCCACATGCACATTCTGTACTTGTGGTTTGTTCAATTTTGTCTGTCCAGTTAAATTGGAGGAAAAAAAAAGGAACCAGGTCATGTGGTTCTCTGGAGGGGGTGCTGCTGCCCTGAGTAGTTCTGTGATCCCCACAATCCACCTGTTTTCTAGAGAATCCTAGCTCCTGGTGTGCCTGCTCTCCAGCAGCTGGAAAACAGATCTTCCTGCCTGACCAAAGCTCCTTGTTTCTTGTGTGGCATGTTTGTTTTCCCAATCTGGTGGCAGTTCTGGCCAAGGGCCTGCCTGCCACCTTCCTCTACCACTTGCCCTATTGGGGGTTCAGGGGACATTCTTAGCCAGGGCCTGCTCTTCCAGCATCATGGGTTTTTCCTAAAGATCTTGACTCCTCCCTTAGGCTCCACAAAACATTAAAAAAAGAAAACTAGACTCCTTTCATGCATTTGGATGAACAGCCCTCTTGTCTGGGTGCTGGGCTACAGCAAACATTTAAACCCCAGTATTCCAGAGATTACTGGGGAGGGTAGGGGGCTCTCTGAAAGAGAGAGATGCTGGATCTCATGGTTTTTAAACTGTACATTTTCTACTTTGGAGACCATGCCCTAAAGTGTCCTGCAGACAAACCATGGCACCAATCTTTAAGTGAAAGCTGGGTTCCAAGGTAGGTGGCCATGTGTCCATAGGTGGCACGGTTTTGCATCAACACTTTCCCACCCAGCCTGGGGGGCAGCCCCACCCGGGAGGGGCACCCTGACTGGGAAGGAGCCTCGCAGCTGACCCCGCCTTAAATAATCAACTTTCCCACCAGATCCCGGGGGTTTGGGTGCCAAGTGCTCTGTAAACCTATTCTCTTTGGCTCAGCTAAAAGAAATATCCTCTCCTTCCTTTCCTTCTGGGCTTGGGGGAACTTTCTTAAAAATCACAGTTAAGTTCAAGCAGCGAGGCCTGGACGGGCTCTGCTCTACGAGCTGAGAAGCCAGAGGGGTGGTTGGGAGCAAAATCAGTTTTGACTCCACCCTCCTTGGGATGAACTAGAGGCAGGTGACACCAAGGAGGGGCAGGCCAGAGGGTGGCTCGTGCACGGGGACCCCCACCCATGGACCCCGCTGTCCTTTTCCGTTTGTTTACTCGGTGGTGGCAGCCAGTCTGACCTTGTCCGTGGTCTGACTGTTCCCATGTGTGTAACCTTCAGTATTGTCTGTGATGGATGGTTCTGTGGTGAAAAAGGTTTATTATATTCCTATGGCTGCCTTGTACAAAATCCGTTAGAAAAGAAAATGTAAAATATCAGATTTCTAACAAGATGAAAACAGCATTATGGAGTTAAAAGATTTTTACAACTGGTCTTGATTTTGATGTGAGCTGGTTTTTAGCTCTTAAATGTTGTCACTGAAATAAAAACCTTATTTGCCTTTAAATTGTGCTTTACTCTAAACTAAGTTGAGAAACCTTCCCTTTATTCACGTGCTCCTAGAGCTGGGGTGGGGACAGGTGAGCTCGGCATGGAGGTGGGCAGCACAGAGGTGGGTCCTAAACCTCAAACCTGTGGCCAGAGTGGCCTAGGGGAGCAAAGGTGGCGGGGTGCTGGCAGTGAAAGGGAAGATGTCAAATGCAGAAAGTCTTTATTTTGCAAAAGCAGTGTTATCTAGGAAAGTCATGCGCTGGTTCCTTTCTAATAAAATGACAAAGCAGATTTCTTAAATAATTTACAAAGGGCAGAAATTGCTCTGGAACAGTGCTGCCGCTCCCTGCACACCCACAGTGGCCTTGCTGAGCACATGAATAGGTACCCCTGAGCCCAGGTTCTTAGGGCCTGCAAATATCTCCTATTCCTTCCTCTGGGGCCCTGGTGGGGGAAGCAGGGATGGGAGCTGGGTCCCCAAGAGCGTCAGAAGTAGAAATATAGGGGGGTGAGTCTGAAAATGACTCCCCACAGACCCTGCTCCTGGATACACAGCTCAGAGCTGTCAAGCATCTTCTGGTGCTTGCACTTCACACTGTAGGTGAGGCCACCACAAGGCTCAAGGGAGGGATGAGTCTCTAAGCCCAAGAGTCCCCTGAGGAGTAGAAGGAGCAATTCTCCCCACCTCTCCAAGTCACTCTCAGGCTATAGCAGGTGGTGACTGATGGGTCCAGATGTGGCCAGAGCAGGAGAGCTCTGGGTCCTTTGTTAGTCAGATCCTTGTTGGCAGCAGCCCAGGGGTTCTGATGGTTCCTAGGGGATTCCTCTGGGAAGTCCATGGAGTGGCACAGACATTTTGGGGGTGAGTACTTGGTGGTCCAACAGGGCTTTCCTGCAAGACAGAGCTCCCTCTGTGCCCCTTGTGCTCAAGGCAGGGGAAGTGGGGACACCATAGCTTTCCCCCTGAAATGGGGGGGCTGGAAGGTGGCTCTAGCATGCTCAGTTAGTCATGCAGTCAGTGAGGTTAGCAGCTCTGGCTCCAAGCAGGCAGGAAGACTTTTACGCTTCCCACTCTGCTGTGCTCATCAGCTCTGTGGGTTTTTCCAGAAAAGACTCATTTCTTTAACATGCCTTCAAATACACACACATGCTCATGCGTGAGGAGGAGGAAGACGCTGGGAAAGATGCTTGAGAGGACATTACCTGCAGGACACTGTCCTTAGTCACAAATGAGAGAGACAGTCATGTCGTCACTAGAGA